TTGCAACCAGTTCACCTCTGGTCTCTGCTGCTCTGTGCTAGATGCTTCTTGGAAGAGGCTCATTTAAAAAAACAACAGCTTTCTCACAGGGGGCATATATAGACTGCAAAGTGCAATTCTAGCAGTGTTTCAATTGCATGCCATCTTAATTATTCCCCTGGTGGTTTCAATGAACTTCAGAAAAGTAAGGTTGGTGGGTGACTGGAACTTCAGCTGGCACTCCACTTACAGTGCACCCAGCTTCCTTGAATAGAGAACTAAAGCAAAACAGGCACATACACACCTTGGAAAGGCTAGAGAAGGCTGCATTGTGGCAAAAATAATGTCTCTTTCAAGAGGACGGAGTAACAGCTGTCATCACATAATGCTGAGCTTCTGGTACAAGGGAAAGGAGAGCCAGTCTCTATGTGGCTGTGTTGTTAGTTTGCTGTGAGTTTTAATTAGTAGATTCACATGTCCAATTCCCCCTACTTGCATCTATTTTATCCCTGGTTGTGCTCCTAAAAGTTCCATGCTAATTGTCGCCTATTTGCCTGCAACAGTTATTCAGTGGCTTATAATAGTAGCACCTCTTAAAGAAAGCATATAAACAAATAAGAAAGGATATGTATGTATGTATACACACACATAGACACTCTTTGGTGCCGGTGTGCTCTTTGAACAGGGTGGTAAGATGGAATAGCTGTAAAATGAAATGTAAATTTCATTTAACTTCTGATCTACATACAACCATATACTTAAATATCGGATTTGTGGATTTTCCTAATAATGAGGCAAACATGAATGTGCTGTGCAGAAAATGTGTTGACTGGGATTTTTGTTTGTATATATTTACATCTCAAAGTCTTGATATCGCAGGAAAAATGTTGTTAGATAAGTGTTAGATCAAACTGAGTCATTGCTTTAAACAAGATCCCAAAGCAGCATTTTTTAGAAGTTAAGTTTTATCTTTTTGTTTCTTTTCTTCCCTCTAGCTGTTGTGGAACTACAAGTTCAACCTGACTACAGATCCAAAATTTGAATCAGTGGCTAGAGAAGTTTGCAAAACCACTATATCAGAGGTAATTTGATTTTGGAGGGGGTGGGCATAGGCTGGAATCTTACCATGTTTTTCTGCAAAACAGATACTAAAATAAATATAAAGATGAAAGCACTGAATTATTCTTCCAAAAAGTATACCCCCTCTTTATAAATATTTTCTAAATTGATTTTGTTTCTTTTCTGTGGAATTTGAAACATGTTTAAAAAACCTGCTAATCTCTATTCTAGATTTAGTCCATGTTTTTGCTAATTATGAAAAACATGAGAGCAATACATTAAAAAGTAATAGTGACTTGAAGCCCATTTCTCAAACTGTTTCAGGATCCTCATCATTAAATACAGTGCACTTATTTCTTGTCCAACCCTATCACCAGCAAATGCAATTAATGTTAGCATTTGGAATGGAGGGAATGGGAGTTGTGCAATTCATTTATTGTTTTAGGAGGGGTCAGGGTAGTGCAAAGATTGGGAACCTCTGCTTTAAGATGTACTGTACTTTTTCTTGGATTAGTTCCATTTGCAGCCTGAAAATGGTCATGGGTGGAATCCAGTGCCCAGTTTAATAGCACAACCTCTTCCAATAGCAGGACCAATGTGGGTGGTAGATACTTCCTCTCCCCTGCAGCTTCAAAATCTGAGCCAAAGAATTGCAGGATCCTCCTTAACTAACAGAGGGTTAAACACAGACTGCAGGGAAGAGGGAAGAAACTGAAATCTGCTCCTGTTAGTATTCCATCTGCAGGCTGCCCCTTTCTCTCCTTGTCCTTATCTGGATTGATAATGTCTATTTAAATGTTAGAGATAATGAGTGCTTGCTAAGAAAATGTTCTGATGACTTTAGAGGAGGCAGTTGTGAGATCATGTTTTTTAAAATATCTCCATGGACCATACCAGGTTTTCCAGCTGTCACTGTTTACAAACTGCCCTTCTTTCACATGGTGCTTGAGTAGATAACTGGGAACATCTGGTGCTGTGCCACTGATAATACAGGAACTCTCTGCTGATTTTGATCTGTTTTTAATTTTGGAATTGCAATTAGCTTGAGTAATCTGGGGTGGGGAAAGCAGGGAACCTCTCCTGAAAGGAGAAATGGAATCAGTGCAAAGTTTCTAATTGTCTGGATCAGGCAGAAGGATGTGGTGCTGTTGACCATAGTATAATGGAATCTGGGAGGTGTGGGGCAGTTTCTCAGTTCGGCACCTATCATATATGTTAGGGTTGCAGTTAGGTTGACTAAGGCTGCCTCAGTGCTTTTCTTCTGATCTGAAGGCTTGTTTTCAAAAAAGTGATACAAATACGTATCATTTACCTGTGAATGCTGTAGGGCTCCATCTCATCTCTTAGCATCTGCATGAAAATGCTGGGAAGGTTTCTAGGATGATCAGTAGACCAATGACAGGTCTGTTTCTGCTGTTTGCCTGGCACTAATGTAGTAGTGAATGCTCTGAATCAGTGTGTGGATTTGGTCTGGGCCCTGATTTAGAAACCACTTCCAGAAAAGGTGATAATGCTCTTCATAGGTGGTATGGCTGGTTGCTGGAACTGGTCATCAGACCTTTTCTTTATGGGCTTAAGTGCTCTTTAAGGTTTTGGAGCATTGTTAGATCCAGTCTGATTAATGGTCAAAGTAGCATTTACCACCCTCTCTTATGCGCACAAGCATTCTTTCTTCTGCCCCAGGGTGGATCTTGATGGAGTTATCCAAACTTTAGCAAAGTCCAGAATGGATTACTGTAGTGTCCCCTAAACAGTGGGGTTTTTGTGGAAAGTACTCACATAACAAACAGTTGGTTCAGAATAGAACAGCTCAGGTATTTAACAACTGGCAGTCAAAGAATTGTGCTTCACCTGTATTGACACTACTTTGGCTTCTTGCGCAATTCAGAATGGCTGCTTCTGATCCATAAATCCCTAAACAGTTGTGAAGTAGTTTATGAAGGGCTGTGTCCCCCCCCCCCCGTCCAAAATCTTTGGAAGCCACCTTCTTTGGAGGGACAATATTTCTGTCGTGGAGTTTGGCCCATGAATGTGGTCTCTGGGATATTTTATCGGTTACAGAATGTCTTTTATCAGGATGCATCTAGGGGAATTTCCAAAAAGGCTCTGAACTTGATTTGGTTTTATGATTGGGATTGCAAGTATCTATGGATAACTGTGTAAATTATATATTACACACACACACAATACATTATAATGTATAACATATATAAGATGTATATTTCACAAAAATGAGTATGATTATTATTAATTTCTATTTTTGTACATAACTTCACTAATTTGCTTTTAGGACAATTCAGAACATAAATTAGTCAAATTATAACTAAAGAAACAAAATGAAAACATGGGGACAAACAAGCAGTTAGCAGCTAGTAAAACAACATAAAATGCAACAAAATAAGAGAGCAGATAAATAGTGTGAAGCTGTATAAAGCAAATCCACTATTTATGGGAAAGCTTCACCACAGTTGGAAAGGAAAGAATATTCCCTGGACACATACAATAGTCCATAAATCACTAATTATATTTTTAGTCCTCCCAATAATGAGTCTCCAGACTTTGGAGTGCAAAATAGTGGACAGGTTTTGGAGCATGCATAAAGTAGATTGTTAAGGATTAGGTTGTCTGTGCAATGTACCTGTATTTGCTCTTCCTGAACCTCTCCTAGCTAGGGCACATCTTGCTGTCTCAGCTTAGTTGTGAAGCTCCGCATGGTTTCCTTGGATGGATGGATGGCATCTTTGGATGACTGGCTCAGCTGGAGGGAGTTGTTTTTTTTGCCCCATGTGGCTACTCCTGGCTTTACATGGTGCTAACAGGTTACTTCTCTGCTAGCATATGGGTGCCAGATGGTGTGGCAGACCACCCAGTATGGTATGAAATCCATGCAACTTGCAGAAGCAAATGTCCTGTGAATAAGTGGCAAGTCCCACCTGGCAGGCTGCCTGCCTCCTCATCAGTGCTGGCTATGTAAGACGAGCTGCTGCTGTGCATATCCAGCAAGGAGGGGATCCAACTTGTGCTTTGTAACTCTGATTCCCATGATGTTCCTGACCTTGGCTTGACCCTAACCTTAACTTCAGTTCTCTTCTCTGCATTCCAAGACTTCACAGTGCTCTCTAACCTTGAACTGCTCAACCTTGCTTACACCTCTCCTTCAGCTTTCAGCAAACGTGGTGTGCAAACATACATCTTGCAATCTCCTTCCCAGTAACTCCATTTTTTTTCCTTGTCTTGGGCTCTTCACCTTGCCTATACAAACACCCTACTGTTCATGCTGCTAGCCTCTGACCTAAGCACACTCCCACGGTGTCCTTGATTCTAGCTCCTCAGGAAGCCTTGCACCCAGAAGCACACACTGCACCTGCCCCCTGCCTGCCACATGCTCTGGGGTTTGTCCCCTCTCCTGAACCAGAACATAAAATGTGGTATCAGAGGCCACAGAAAGATCCAAGAGGGCAGACTGTCCTCATCCAGGTCCCAGCAAAAGTCATATACAAGAGTGCTGTTTTCATCCCATGCCCAGGTATGAACCCTGACTGAAAAAAGTCCAGATATTCTGCTTCTTCCACGTTGTTCCTGTAACCACAGTCTCAGTAATCTTCCTCCATAGTGCTGGTTGTCAAAGGTTATGAGGAGGCTGGGAAAGGATTGGAAGAGAGAATAATCATAAACAATCAAGAGACAGAGGGTGGGTCAGTCAACATCTTATCTCATTAATTTAGACCAGGTGACAAGAAAGCTGGGAAGGAGTATTTCAGATCATTCGAAGAAACTCCATCTGAATGAACTCAGTGAAGGTGGGAAATTCCCCTTACAATTTTGTATTTACTCCAGACTAGCATTAGATACCTTATTCAGATCTCTGTAGTTTTTCCATCCTTGACCTTGCCCAGCTGTAAGGTGGGGAAGGCTTCTTAAGGAGGAGGTGTGCCACTTTTCAAGGCTGTTGGCATTGTTCCTTCTCAAAGTAGGGCACTCGCTCTGTCCCAGATCACTCTGTCATACACCACCTAGGAGCCACGAGAGGCATGGATTGTCTGGGGACAACCACGGGAACAGCCTTTCTATTTCATCAGAGCCCACGGGCCAGAAGGAGTCCCAGATAACATGGCCAGACATCTCAGTCACCTCAATGGGCTCCTTTTGTTCTGTGTTCTGCTTGTTTCTTCTGGCTATTAGCAGAAGTAATTGAGAAAAAAAAATTAGCCAAGCAACCCATACCTACTTTGCTGACTCTGGCTTATTCAACAAACCATAGCAAAAAAATCCTGGCCACAGACATAGCTATGAGTAACATCTTTTGCACATGCCTGTGACTGAGTGTATTTAAGAACTGGAAAGCAGGATTTAAGTGAAGCTTGCACACAGGGCTGACATCTTCTCAGTAGTACAAGTGAAGTTCCTACGTGTACCCCAGAATCTCCTGTAGCTGCTGAAGGAAGAGGATATCATCTGTTACAAAATCTTTAATTTGGATCCTACATGGAGCCATGGGTTGCACTTGATGGCTAAAATGGCCCCTCCCAGTCTTCTGGTAATAATTTGTATGTTGTTAGCTAATTCTCTTTCGTTTGGTCCAATAAATTAAATATTTAATCTTAAGAATATTTTAACAGCTGATCAGCAAGTTGACCAAAGGTTGTACTGATTGTTTAGCTCTCAATCTTTTCATTCCTTCACCCTCAAGTTCTTTGTAGCCTATTTTTCATCAGATAAATTGGCATTTACCACAGGAGAGATTTTACTCAAATATTGTTTACTAAATCTTAGCTAAAAGCTTCTAAATACAAAAAAGATGATTCAGGATTTTAGTTGGGTAATACGTTATGCAGTTTGTATCTAGTGATGAGACATGCATTGTTAACAGAACCAGTGAATGATTCTTTAAAAATCTACTTGGATTAGTAACACCAACTGCACACAATAGTCTTATTTGATTAATTTCCAGTTGCAAACACATAGTTTTTATTAAACAGGAATTGTAAGGGAGCTTGGTGTTCAGCTTTCAGTAAAATAGGTATTTTTTCCCTAAACATTTCTTCCTTCAGGGAACATATTCTGCATTGTCTATTGGAAAACTTGAAAATAGCTTGTTCTTTCTGTTTCTGTTGTAGCTATAAAATACTCCAGACATTCAGTATATGACACCACTTAATTGAAGTTCCTACAATCACAGCAATCCATCTGAGTTGGCTGTGCATTTCTTTTGGAACTACTCATTTTTGGAAAATGTATTCCTATCCAAGTACAGTGGGGCAAAAAAGTATTTAGTCAGCCACCAATTGTGCAAGTTCTCCCACTTAAACAGATGAGAGAGGCCTGTAATTTTCATCATAGGTATACCTCAACTATGAGAGACAAAATGAGAAAAAAAAATCCAGAAAATCACATTGTCTGATTTTTAAAGAATTTATTTGCAAATTGGTGTTACTAATCCAAGTAGATTTTTAAAGAATCATTCACTGGTTCTGTTAACAATTTGGTGTTACTAATCCAAGTAGATTTTTAAAGAATCATTCACTGGTTCTGTTAACAATTTGGTGTTACTAATCCAAGTAGATTTTTAAAGAATCATTCACTGGTTCTGTTAACAATTTGGTGTTACTAATCCAAGTAGATTTTTAAAGAATCATTCACTGGTTCTGTTAACAATTTGGTGTTACTAATCCAAGTAGATTTTTAAAGAATCATTCACTGGTTCTGTTAACAATTTGGTGTTACTAATCCAAGTAGATTTTTAAAGAATCATTCACTGGTTCTGTTAACAATTTGGTGTTACTAATCCAAGTAGATTTTTAAAGAATCATTCACTGGTTCTGTTAACAATTTGGTGTTACTAATCCAAGTAGATTTTTAAAGAATCATTCACTGGTTCTGTTAACAATTTGGTGTTACTAATCCAAGTAGATTTTTAAAGAATCATTCACTGGTTCTGTTAACAATTTGGTGTTACTAATCCAAGTAGATTTTTAAAGAATCATTCACTGGTTCTGTTAACAATTTTTAAGTGGGAGAACTTGCACAATTGGTGGCTGACTAAATACTTTTTTGCCCCACTGTATATGTTCACTTTAAGAGTGTGTGGGTATCCTTGCAACTAAGTCATACTTATGACTACAAGATAGATAATTCTTTTTCCTTGAGCAAATGAATAACATTTGTATTTAAGCAGGATAATTTAAAGAGAGCCACTGCCTCCTGGCCTTATAATGGGTTTCCTTTATAGATAGGTGAGAAAGCTATCATGGATCAGGTTTCTTGCCCTTGTGTAAACACAGTTCTGCATAATTTGAAAGATTTCTTTTAAAAAATGTGGCATGGTAATAATGAATAAATGTATTGTGATTTTGGTGGACTAAGGTTTACTTGATGAGAATTAACATTATTGTTGTTTAAACAAGTGTGTCTACTGCAGACATTTGTGATGCGTCGTTAGAATTCTTTTAAGACCTAACTTGGGCGTGATTTCACAATTACCTCACATTCCTAGATATTCACTAGATATTCACTTTTGTGTTAAGTTGTTCAGCTTGACAAATAGCTACTCTACTAGTAACTCCCATTAACTCTTGGGCTTGTTCAGTTTACCATTCAGACCAATGTGCTCCTGACTTGGTCTGTTAGCTCAGCGTTAAACTTTTCACTTCCACTAAGATATGTTTTAATGGATAAATGCAGTGACGTTCCTTCAATATTCAGGAAACGTAAACAGGGACTATGCTTGGTACCAAATGGCCTTTGCTTTCTTTTAAGACCTTTGTTGCAAGAAAACTCCCAGCGTGATCTGAATTCTGTATGGTTAAAGCCCCAAGCCTCAGGAAAGAGCTCCTACAGCCTAATTGGGTTCCCCAATAGGGGAATAGTATAATGGGGTCTCATCTTGAGTTTTTTCCCAGTAGAATTTGAGCACACTTTCAAGCTCTCATAAGAAGCCAGTTTTTCTAGTATTTGTGTAGCGGTAAGTAGCTTTTGTGCTGCACTCTGTGCCTCCAAAGATTCTTTCCAAAGCCACTGGTTTCATTCATCAAGGCAAGGTGCTCTGAGACTCTGGCTTTGTTTGAATGGCTTCAGGGTTCCAGGTCTGCTCTTGGGTTTGTTGTTCCTGCCCTTGGAGTGGAATCGGGGGAATGCTGTGATAACTCTCTGGTGATTTAGTTCATGGACAGTAATTATAAAAGCCACCAATCACTCTAAGACTGTCTCTGTGGAGGGTGCTCACTCTAGACTAGAGGTTCATCTCAGGTCCTTTGAGTGAGTGAGGACACTGACATGTTAATCTTTCATTCTCTGGATACTTGTAGGGAATCCATGATTGCTTTGCCTTAATATCTGTTCCAACCTTTTTTTCCTGAAAATTGGAGTCTGAGTTTTTACAGTCTCTCTGTACTGAAGACTAATGGATGGGAACATGGTAAACAAAATTCTCCACAAGGTCCAGGCAAGGCATCCATTCATTTTATCATGAATCTTTCTGAACAGATCAAAGAATGTGCTGATGAACCAGTCGGAAAAGGTTACTTGGTATCCTGCTTGGTGGAGCATAGAGGAAATATCACTGAATATCAATGTCACCAGTACATCACCAAAATGACAGCCATAATTTTCAGTGATTACCGCCTGATCTGTGGATTTATGGATCACTGCAGGACTGATATTAACCTCCTGAAGTGTGGCAGTGTTCGACCGGGAGAAAAGGTATTCTGTTCCAAAACCTAGTTTGATTCCAAATTCATTAATTTTGGGGAGGAGAATCATTTCAATGGAGTCATTCCTGCTCTGAAGAAACCAGCTGGAAGATCATAGCTAAATTCCTTATTTCTATCTAGAATTTGTGTTATTGTCAGGCCTAGCCCAAGGAACTCCAGGAGACCATGCAAATTCAGTTCAGCAATGTTTATT